CTTCCCGGTGAATCTGAGTACTAGTAAGTCCTTAGGGATGACCAAGCTAGAATGTCTACATCAGGGTTTCCATTTACCGTGCCACCACAGCACCTCCACCCTGGGCTCCTCCCATCACAGGTTCACACCCAGGGCCACCTCATATACCATTTACCCACCACAGGTATCCATTCCAGGGGTGTCCAGGTAGCACCCCACGGCAAGACTTGCCCCAGGCTTGTCGTATATTCCAACTTGGTCGACTCAACCCTCACCCTCCATGCACCCAAGTCACACACACAGCACTCTTCCCATAGTTCAGATAACACCAGTTTCCACCACGCATCTATGTAGTACAAGCGTAGTAGAAGTAATAAGCAATAAAACATAGCAGCAAGCGTGTGACTAGCCTAACAGCTGGGTGAGCAGGGGTAAGGTTGCTTCAAGGTAAAGGCCATTAAGTAAGCATACTACCATGCAAGTCCTATCATAGTGTGAATATAACAGTAAGGTAAAGCAATAGCAGTTCTATATTAGCCATGCGTAATAGGTGCTACGAGGTTGGGTGGGATGTGGCACCTTCAGTGTAGTCGTCTCCGTACTCCTCACGGTACTCACGATCCTCGTCCGTCCGGTTCTCCTCCGAGTCTACAAACGATCGCATTATAGTCGCGTTAGCGACATCTATAGAATAGCACAAAGAAGCAATGAAAATTCAAAAGAGCCAAATGCACTCAAACATGGGTTCATTGCATAGAGCTCGATTTTAGATGAATTTTAGTCCAGGTTTCATATTTTTCTGAGGTCGTATGAATTAGTTATGAATTTTCGAAGATTAAAATCATCTCTGAAAATGGAAAAAGACTGAATTAATCCTGGCCTGACACGTGTCACGCTGTGACTGGTCCACATGGCATGCTAACGTCAGCAATCGGCTCGGCTCTGAGCTGACAAGTGGGGTCTTGCTGACGTCAAGATGACGTCATCAACATCATCCGTTCCGACGGGTGGGACCAGGGGCTCTTGGGTCACTGACATGCGGGTCCGGTCAAAGTCAATGTCAAGTCAACGGGCGAGTCAACGGTCAATGGGTTAGGGTCACTGATGTGTGGGGCCAGGGCAGCTGACGTCATCGTGATGTCAGCATGACGTCACCTCGGTTGTGATGTTGCTGAAAGGTGGGACCCGCGTGACGTTGTCATGACGGCAGCATGACGTCACTCACTGACATGTGGGTCCCGAGCCTCTGTGTCGCTGACATGTGGGGCCGGGTCAACCGTCGACGTTGACCGGTCAACGGTCAACACGGACCGGGTCCGAACTAGGCCGGTTGGGCCTGGTCAGGGCTGGATTTGGGCTAGGCTTAGCCCGCCACGTGTCGCGCGAGGAGGCCATCCACGTGGCTCATCTGGGCTCCATACGGGCTCGGTTCCAGGCTGTGGGCGTGAGCGTGGCTCACGGTAGACCAAGATGCGCTGGTCCATGGACCTATGGCTGGGTTCATGGTGGACCAAGTCCACTTCTCTTTCCTTGGGCATGGTCTTTGTGCACCGGGTGCAGGCGCGGGTGGCCGGCGAGAGGAATTCCCCTGCTTCCATTTCCGGCGCGCTCCCGCCGGTGGTGAGCTCACCGGCGAGCTCCTATGGCGGTGCTGGTGTCCAATCGAGGTGGGGAAAAGCTCCCCCACACCATGGCGACTGCGACGGTGGGGTCAGGGTGACGGCTAGGGCTTCCTAGGGCTCTGGCCACGGCGGTCAGCAGCTCGGCGGTGCTCGCCGGTGGTGAGGTCGCGCGTGTAGGCTCCCTGGTGGCTCGGCTGGGCGGATAAGGGCTTCTGTGGGTCCGTGGGAGCACGGCGAGGGCGTCCAGGGCTCAAGGCGGGGCTTCGGGTCCCCCATGTGGCCGGTAGGGGCTCCACGGCGTCCACAGCGTGCTCGTGGATGTGCGCGTGAGTGCATGTGTACCCAGAGGCCGGAGACGGCCTTGGCCTATGCGCTCCCGGTGTGGAGCGCCAAGGCCGGAGCAGCATGGTCTGGCGGCGAGCAGGGAAGGACCGGGCTCACCGTTGGTGTCGTGGGAGATAGGGTGGTGATGCAGTGGCGGTTCGAGGCCGTGTAGCTCCGAAAGCAGTGCAGCGCTACTGTAGCCGATCGTGGCGTCGGCTCCTGCTCCGGCGGCTTCGGAGGTGCTCCGATGGCGCCTCCTTCTCCCTCCTCCCTCTCCCTTCCTTCTTCCTCTCCCTTCTCTGGCTCGGGTGTGCAGTGGATGGCCACAAAGTGGTGGGGGCGATGAGAAAGCGCTAGGGCTCCTGGGGCCGGGGCTTTTATAGCCGAACTCCATGGCACCCATGGTGGACGGCGATCGAGTGGTGGAGGCGCGTGCATCGCATCCAACGGCCCGCGTGTGGTTGCGTAGGCGCGGCGCAAGGGGACAGGGCCAGGAGATTCGCGTGACCCCCTGGCCCGCACCTGCCACGCCGGTCGGGGCTTGGTCGAAGAGGTGTTCGGCGTGGGGAGGAAGACGACACTGTTGCCGGAAGTGGCTGACGTGCGGGACCCAGTTGGCAGCGGTAGCTGGTGGAGCAGACGGGCGCGCGGGCATGAGCGGCGTGCTGGGCCGGCTCGCTGGGCCGCGTGCGCGCGCTGTGGTGGAAGGCGGGCGCGGTTGGACTGGCTGGGCCGCGAAGCCGAGCAGGCCGAGGCGGCTTGCGAGGCCTCCCTCTTCTTTTTCTTTTTCTATTTTGTTTTTCTTCTACTTCGTTTTGAATTCAAATTTGTTTTAGAATTTGAATTCAAATCTGGTGGAGTTTTTGTTATACAAAAATGGAAATAGTTTTCTCTTTAAGCATTTATTCTTTGGTTTGATTAATAATTACTTTATGGTTTATTTCTTTAAAGGAGTTGTTAGGCATTACATAAAACAAATAGAAATCCAAATCACCATTTGAGTTAACAAGGTATGATATATTTTATTTGTCAGTATCTAAATAAACATAATTAACAAATGATATGCCATGTTCATGAAATTGTTTAGTTAGGTTACAACTAATGCAACACCTAGGGTTGACTCCTACCGATATCACTTCAACATTGCATGGGGTTTTGAAGAAAAGTTTTGTAGTTGTGATTTTTGGTGTGTGGATTTTTGGGTTGTTACATCTGGTACATGGAAAAGCTCACTATAGTGTAATTACTCACTTTTAATGGCCGATAATGTAATGGCCATTGGTTTCCTAATACTATCATGCACGAGGCACTCTTTGCATGCGATTTAGGGTCGTATACATATAGTTTTAAGCTTTATTCAATCTTGTAGCATTTCTCATATGTTTGGAGTTGGCTTTGGGGGTTTAGTTGAGACTTAAAACATTTAGTGGCAGCAGCTTATTTTTTTGTCACTTTGGTGTTTGAAAAGAAACATGCTTTTTTCTCATTTTGCAGAACAGTAGGTGATACAATCGATTAACCATTAGGTCTGTACATAGGTTATCCTCTAAAAGCTTACTTTGTTGGTTTTTGTTGCAGCAACATTGCAACAATTGGCACAAAACGGGTACGATGTCTCCCTAGAATCGATGGTCATTAGAATGACAAGCATTTGTTTTTGTTTTGTTTTGTTTAGACTGTGTGCATTTATTTAGAGCGTGATTGGAAGCTTGTATAGGTTTGGCCCTGACTTGTGTGGTTGGCTGCTCTGATCTTCTAAGCCAGGCCAACATGAAAATCAAAGCACCTTCAACTAGGCTCTAGAGAGAAACGTCGGCTGGGAGCGTTTCTCACAAGCAAGTATATGACATGGGGCCAATGTTATCTTAAATGTTTAATGTTAAACAGTCGATCACTTATTGTTTAGTCAATTTTTTATCTAAACGAACAAAATGATTGTTTAAACAGGATAAACGACTGATAATATAAAAATTACCATACCACTATGTAACGTGTAAATAGTGTGTAAACGGGCTAAACCACCGTATCAAAGCACTGCTTATGCTTCGCTGTCCATTCTAGGACATACGTCATCTTTTGTTTTGAGGCTATTTGATTGTGCGCGAGGAGGTCTGGCTTATTATGTAACCAAATAAACTTACTTTTTTGCACTTTTGTTCTATCTAGGCTAATTCCATAAGGACGTCCTCAACGGCACCGTCGATTTCGCTAGCTAAGTTGGCGTGAGAGAGAATTATAAGAAAACAAAAAGACTCTACGTATTAGTACGACGAGTGATGGTGGGCCGGTGAATGCAGAGCCAACAGATGGTTTTGAGAGGCTTGCAAGACTAGCGAGAAAGGCCATGTTCGTTTCTCTTATGATTCGTTTTTTATAGCTTATTTTTTTTCAGCCGAAACAGTATTTTTCTTCCACGACGCATCAGGCGAACGGGGCCAAAGCAGTCGCTAGCGACGAGATTTTTATGCCCATCTCTCGTCAGACGAAGCATGACGTGAGCGAGCGACGTAGCTGGTTCATTGGGGACGCTTTAAGCCTGTCTCATATGATCTTGATAAGGACAATCGGTCACTATGTTAACTCTGGTGTAATAATTGTGAGTCAACAAAAACTTTCCTTCGTTAAGAAAAAAACTGGACTGCTCTTTTTTAACGACACAGACACAGTCGCCGTTCGGCAAAAAAAACCGGCTGGGTCGCCGCGCACGATTACTGCCAGTACCGGAGAACGTGGGACAGCTGCCGGTTGCGGGGCCCGGGGCCCACTGGCCCAGTCCGTTTCCTGGGGAAGGATCTAGGCCATGTCGACGTGGCGACGCAGCAGCCGAGCTTTAGATAATAACGCTGGCCCACCCCGTGGGCCCGGGGCCGCGGCAGCCACACGAATCCCTTCTCAGCGCCAGGCCACACACGGCTTGGCTGTCGTTGGCTCAAATCACGCGCAGCTCGCCCGGCGACCTCGTGGGGCCCGCGGAGGGTCGATGGCAAGTGGGGCCGCGGCGCTGCCTGGGCCCACGTATGGCGATGTGGGGTAGAGTGGTTAAGTACTCCAGCTCCAGCAGGGGAAGGGACGCAGATGCATCTTCGTCTCCCTTGCCACTCCTCTCTGGTCTCTGCTTCTCTCTCCTCCTCCTCCTCCCCCACCGGGTGGCCACAGCCCACAGCAATTTACAAGCAGCAGCAGAGGAAGAAGAGGAACCAGCGCTTCCGGGCGAAGAACAGCGTCACGGTCTCGTCTCACGGAGGAGGCGACAAGAAGGGTTCGGCTGCCAGTGTACGTTTTAACCAAGAAGATCGAGTTCCTCTTTCATATGTTTGCGGCTCCATGAATTTCGATTTTCTGTCTACCTGTATGTTCCTGCCGTGAATGGAATTCTCTCTTCTTTTCATGCCTTGTTGATCCTGCAAAGACGGCAGCTTTTCTCGCTTCCTGTAAAGTTTAGCTATTATCTGGGCTTTGGTTTGGTTTGGTTTGTTTATTCTGATGATCTGATCTGATCCCAATCAAGCGCCAACTTAAGTTTAGCTTCTGATGTTGTCTGTGGACATGTATCATGTATGTAAATCTGTTTGATTTCCTAACAGGCGCACCTCTTGATCTGGTTCAGATGAGCATCATGGCGTGGTATCCGTTGCCGCAGAGCGGGGGCACACCGTCGGTTCCAGGCGACGAGTTCTTCGACGACCAGCTGTGGAGCTTCGGATCATCAGCTGACGACGATCATGACAACCACGGCGCTGGCGGCGCGCGTGCGGAGAAGCACGGCAACGACGACGACGTGGGGAGTTCAGACCAACACACCGAGGGCCTCCCGGCCGTGCCGCAGCAGCGCACGCAACCAACAGACGACATCTTCATGTATGTTTCTGTACTTGCTCCACGCCAAGTGTGAAATTCTGCCATTGCCGTTTCTGACATGGCCGTGCAGTGGATGATCCTGATCCCTTGTGTGCTCTGATGACTTGCAGGAGCCAGTTCTCGGACGAGGAGATGAGGAGGATGGATGCGCCGTTCGAGGCGCTGGACATGTTCCCGGGCTCCATGCACCGCCTGCTGTCCTACGAGAACATGTTGAGCGGGGTGCTCACCGGCTCATCATCAGAGGACCGGCAGGACGCCACGCTGGGCCTGGGGGTGGACACCATGGACACCTGCGGCTTCCCTCTCTTCAGCCACGACCTGATGCAGAACGCGCCGACGGAGCTAGTGCTGCCCGATCTTGTCACGCCCAAGGATCATCATCAGGTACAGGCCGGCGACGTGTGATCGACTCTCACTGTCTGTCACGACACCATGTTTACACTGACTAGTCTAGCACAGACAGGTACTGATGAAGTGATGATCTGATGAGCTCTGAATGTTTCCATTCCAGGATGGGGCGAGTTTTACGACAAAAAGGAGCAGATCCGTCGCCGCCGATGAAGGGAGCGTGTTCTTCGAAGCGCTGGTGCTCCAGGAGCTCGAGGATGTGGTGTTCCAGGTACCTTAGTTCACCTCACCAGATCCAACTGCAGTGCAGAAAAATGTGACTGTTTGTGTTCGTGTTTGTAACGGTGAAACATGTTTGCTCTCTGTCTGAAACTGAAGCTGACGAAGAGGACGCGGGTGTGCCTCCGGGACGCCTTCTTCAGGCTGGCTGAGAGTTCGAGAGCCAAGTGCAGCGCTGCAAACGGGGCGCCTTCTTCTGAAACTGGTGTCCACCAAGCAGCAGACGGCAATGCGTCCAGGTACGTGACGTGACGTTCATTTCTGCCGCCCATGTCCATGTGTGTGGTTCTTTTTTTCTCCCTCTCTCTGACTGTGGTCTGTTGTTTGTCTTCAGGATCTCAACGCCAGGCTGCCCGGAACGGGAGACGAACGCCATCGACAGGACGGTGGCGGACCTCACCATGAAGCCGCCGCGCCCCGTCCCTCTTGAGGTCCTTGTCAGCCGCTGCCCCGACGACGACTCAGGGGCGGAGGCGCAGTCCGCAACCAGCTGGACGACGACGGCGTAGAAGGGGACTGATGTGAGGCTGATCCATCTTTTTGCCACCTACTGCGTGCTAAGATTCGGCCATGAATTTGCTTAGCGCAGAGATGTACATACTTGCGTACTGCTATTGCATCTGTTTTTTCTTTAACGAGCTCGCGAGCAGATGATGAAGAGAACTGGCTGTTGTTTATGCATTTGTACTTAGTGAAGTCACTATCTGATGCAACTGAACACTGCACCGTTTATTTATATAGTGGTATATGGAACCGGGCTATTCAATTGTTATTAATTATGTTCTTTTTTTTTACTTTTGGTTGTGTTACAGCAATTCGTGAGTTTGAATGCTTTATTGTGTTACTTTCATCTTGGCTTTCTGTTCCTGGAGGAATTATCTTATTGAACTGTATGCAGCAGCCTGAAATCACCAGAAATTATATGGCAGCCAGAAGGCACAAACAGAGTAACAGACCAACACGAACAATGAAAATCGATGTCTGAATGAAGGTAAATCCAGTTAATGAACATGGAATAACTTCATCCTCTCTTATAACAAATTAAAGTAACACATGCTAGTCTGAATTCTGATCACATTAGGGTGATCATATCATAGGAAATATCACACAACTAACAGGCGAAGTAACACATGCTTGCTCACTTATTCACCGACAGTGTATAAGTAGCATCGATTTTGAACACAATGAAAGAAACTAAGAAAGAATAAATACGTTTAGACAAAGACATATGGTGCAATGGCCTATTTGGCTATTTGTTTACTGCTTTCTTGATTGCCTGCTGTTTGTTGGCACTGAATCGGCCATATCTAGTCATTGTCGGGAGACACCCTGGGATTGGGGATTCCTGCCGATGCATTCACAAAAGTGAAGCCATGCAACTTGAATCCTGTTTAAGATATAAGATTACTAGTGCAGGGCGCGCGCCATCGCGCGCATAGGCAGGTACATGAAAGGGACAATATATAGATTGTAAAACAACAGAACATGTTCATCAACCTCGTGATATACAAAGGGGTAGTAGCGTGTAAAAGGTAATAAACAGGTTGATGTGGTTGTCTTCAAGAACCGCTGCTAACAGCAAACTTTGCATCCCTTCCGAAATAGCGTTGTCCATGTTACAAAACGATGAAGCTGTTTTGTTGTTTTCTACCTATAGGATTACAAAGGTGCTTAGTATCATACGGAGCATAGAATGTAGGTGCTAAATTTGTCAGCAAAGTAGGACATCTGAGGCTTCATGAAGAGGGTTTTCATATATGGAAGAAGTGGTCACAACTATTTAGCTGTGCAGTGCCAGACATAAATCTTGTCAACGTGGCCTGAATGGGCTGGCATGAAGACTCAAAACTGAAGAGAATTCAAATTCTCACCTTGTCTGGATCCTCGTTGGTGGTAACGATCATGTTCATCTTGATAAAGGACTCCTTTCCTTCATTCAGGCTGAGTGAAGACAGCGGCAGACCAATAATTCTGAGGAAAGATAGCTACAAAGGAAACCCAATGGATTCAGGTAAACCTATTCAATCATCTATTATGCAGTAATTATATCCGTAAATGTGTCTAATTTGAAACTAAATCATGTAAGGCCTACACGTGAGAAAAAAAAATAACACCAATGGTTGGAGCAAGAGAATTAAGAAAATGAAAAGTAAACCAATTGAATCCAAATAGCAAATCGTATTATAGCCTACATGGAAAGGTGAATCTATTCAATCATCTATGATGCAGTAATTAGAATATTTATTTCTGTAAATGTGTCTAATTCGAAGCTGAATCATGTAAGACCTACATGTGGAAAAAAAACACCAATGGTTAGAGCAAGAGAATCAAGAATACAAAAAGCAAACCAATTGAACCCAAATAGCAAATCGGATTATAGCATAGATGTAAAGGTGGACAGAGAAGCAGAAATACAAACAAGACATCAATATGTTTCTCTTTGTACAGATAAGTTAACAATGTCACTCAAAAATCAAAATAGAGCAATAAAGATTAAGAAATGATAACATTTGGTAGAATGATGATCTAGCGTTTCATTGAAGCTACACCATCCATTGTACAAAGTCAGGAGGGAAACAAAGTAAGAACCCAAAAGCATAAAAATAGGAAATATGGTATGGCAGGCACCTGTGTTGGATAAATGAGTTGCATAGTGATATGTGACCAGGTTACAGGTGGAGCTGTGTCTTCCTTGAGCGAAATGCATTGCAATGTTACAATGAGAAGCATTGGAAAATACTTGAGGTAAGACACCTTTTCTTTTTAACCGCTAGCTTGGAAGGCAAACGTGAAGGCAAGGATAAAGAATACAAATAAATCAAGAAATGGATCTATCTGCATGATTGAAACATGGTAAACATCATAAGATTTCTATCTAGGTGGACCACTGCCAGAGAAGGGCCGCTGGGACATTTGGAAGGTGGTATGTATGAAGTGACAAAATAAGATATTCAAATTTGCAAGCGGAAAATAAAGGTTTCTTACAGGTTCAAGGCAGTACAGAGGTGAATTAAAGTGAAAATTTTGTACATAGCTATTGTGGCTTCATATCTAAAAATCAAACCATCAATGAACAAACCGATATATAAAAGACCAATCATTGTGTTAATTTATGCTTCAGCTCTGATGGCTCTTATCATCCTAAACTGAGGAAATTGATATTGGAAAGAGATAAATTATTGCTATATACAGATAAGCCTATAACTAAAAAAACAGAGGACCCCAGCTCCAAGACGCACCCCCAAATTTCATTTCATTTCCCTTAAATTGGACTGTTTTGGATGTACAAATACAACTAAAGCACACAGATTGTTATATAAACCTGAAATCATTTTTGTGTGGGAAAAAACTTCAAAGGCTGTCTGAGAGCGTGTGCAAATCACAATTACCAGAGGTGGTGTAGTTTGGCCTCGAAGCATCCAGACCAGATGCAACCAGTGACCGCAGCATCAGTTTGGCTGATGACAGCTATGCTGATCTTTAGCCATTGCATTAGACTTGCATCGATGACAGCCATGCTGAACTTCTCGTCCACTCGTCTGCACACTGCCAACCCACATCAGTGAGAGAATAACTAATTAGTATAATAACCAAATCAAACTCCAAGAGTGAGGACGGTAAGGATGTCGACGTATCCCACTGTATTGTTTTATAAAGCATGTGTATGGGTTAGCATCGTGCCTGCAACCACCGATGCAAAGTGATTGAGGCCTGAACAAAGGCAGCAATGGCATCTTGAGTAATCTAAATGGAAATGGTTCATTAATTTGGCAAAAAAAAATTGGTCAGTATGGAACCTGTTCGATGCCTTTATTGTTCAATCTGCTGTAGACTACAATATAGCTAAGAATGCTTGGGCAGGTGAGATTTATGTTATCTGTAGCGGCATGAAGGTTCTTTGAATTTTCCCACCCTATTGAGATAATAGCAGCAGAATAACAAAAGAACTATTTCTGGTGATAGAAAGTAGCATTTTATGAAAGCTTCAGGTACCCAAAACAGAGTAAAAAACACCTACTTTATACTGGCAATGTTAGTTGTTGAACTCTCACTCTCGGTAGTAGCAGAATTCTTACTCTCATCGAGAGAGGATGACACTAGGAGTTGGGGCAATTTTCTAGTTTATTTCTCACACAAACTCACACAAATGCCATGCCAACCTGAGGGGTTGGGGTTACATATTTATAGGCTGCTAGCCAGCCAAGCATATGCCAAGATGCTAGTCTAAGATGATGTCCTCTAGTCTAAGATGCTGTCCTAAAAACAGAAAAACAGCCACAAGGAACATGTGAGCAGCACAGCCCCACAAAGACCAGCCACACATGAGACTTATCCATCATTCTCCCCCTAAGTCTTGTGCGTCGTCTTGTGGGAGAGTTGAACCATCCTAGTCCTGGAGCAGAGCTCAAGGAATTTGATCCTCCCAAGGGGCTTGGTGAGCAGGTCCGCAAGCTGGTCCTTGGTGTTGATGTAGCTCGCCTTGATGCTCCCTTCCTCCAAACAGCCTCGGATGAAGTGGTACCTCACCCGGATGTGCTTGTCAAGGTTAGGAACACGGGTTCTTTGCCGGGGCAGGCCGGACTTGTTGTCCACCTTGAGCTCCACCGCTCTAGTGTCTCTGCCGAGGAGATCACCAGCTCTATCGGGCGAGCCGGCGCTGAGTCGAGCGGTGGAGGCCGCTATGTACTCGGCCTCGCACTGGACAGGGCCACCACCGCTGCTTGACCGATCGCCACTAACAAGGCACTTGCCGAGGAAGAAGAGGATCCCGCTTCGTGCTCTTCTGCTGGTGTTGATGTCGCCGGCCGTGGTCATTGTCATTGTACCCGACATTCGTGTGCCGCCTGGGCACCTCGGGTAGTAGAGGCCGTGGTCGAGAGTCCCCGCAACGTAGCGGATGATCCTCTTCACAGCCTGCTGGTGCTCCATTGTCGGTCGCTGCATGAACTGACTAACGTAGCCGACGGAGAATGCCAGGTCCGGCCGTGTGTGGGCGAGATAGCGAAGGCTCCCCACAAGACGCCGGTGCTGCGTAGCGTTCACCTCCTCCGCCGTCGGCTTTGTCGCTCGCTCGACTTCACCCTCTCCTCCATCGGAGTGAGAGTTGGGTTGCGATCGGTGAGCCCAAATAGCTCAACGACGCGCTTGGCGTGGGCGATGCTGTCGAGCGTGATCCCGGAGTCATCCTTGTGCACCTCGATCCCCAGGTAGAAGGAGAGAGGTCCCAGGTCACTCATCTGGAAGGTGGCCTTCATCTCTTCCTCGAATGCCGCCACCTCCGCATCCTTGGTGCCGGTGATCACCAAGTCGTCGACGTAGACACCCACCAGCAGAGCATTTCCTCCACTGCCTCGTCGGTAGATGGCCGCCTCGTGCGGGCTTTGCTCGAAGCCCATCCCCTTTAGCGTGGAATCCAACTTGGCATTCCACGCCCTCGGTGCCTGCCGCAAGCCATAGAGGGCCTTGCGCAGGCGGAGCACCTTGCCCTCCTTGCCGGGGATCGCAAATC